ACTTAGTAATTTTTTCTTTATCTTATTCAATAATGTGAATGTTGAGTTAAACTAAGTACCTGATGATATAACTTGAGAAAATTAATGCCCCATTCGTTTCAATTCATCCATACTCAGTAGGGCAAGCAAACGTTTTTCTGTCAAATTTGCTCAATTGAAATTACACTGAAAAGATAAATTCTTGAATATAGTTTGAGAAACTATGTAAGCGAAGTAGGGATAACCTATTATTATTAAAGAGACTGAAAAGGCCTAGGTGTCTCGAAAGTCAAATAAGACCATTAGCAGACACAATGTTTGTTTAAAACTCTTGTGGCCCATCGCGATATATAATGAGCGATGCAGAAAAGAAAAAAAAATGATTTTCCACACCCTTCAGCTAAAGCTTTCCTTATTCAAAAAAATAGTCCCCGTTAAGCGAACAAAGTTGATTATGCCTGGACGGCTCCACTCATGTTAAATCAAATTGAAAAGTTTTGAATGCTTAGTGATCAATTTCTCCTATATGAGATTCACTCTGCTCACAACCATGGCACTGATCTTACGCAATACTTGATTGCCTTGAACGAGTTAACTCTTTATTCGCACAATTGAATTTGTTCGACAATGAATAAAGGTTTAGTATGAGGAGGTTCGATAACTCCAAATAATAGCATATTCTTAACTTGACAAAATTGTGTATTACTTGAATTTTTTTGTGAAAACCATCACAATATCTGGTTTATGGCATACTTTATTGAATAGTTTCGTTTGGTATGATCCACAGTGCGTCTGTCGAGATTATTAACATTTTTTGTCCTTTTTAAGAGATATTTCTGGTCCAGAAAAGCTAAATATTGGAATCCAAACAATGGCATTTTTGCTCAACAAGCAACGCCCTTTCCGCTCGTGCCAGCGCCAGCGACCAAACATTCAACGCAGCGAAGCGAGGATGAAGAACTCCAGAAATTCATCAAGTGTTGATCTCTCAGCGATCAAGTCATTCCGATACCAGCCAGCGATGACAACATCACTTGAGCTGCGATAATGCCCTCCATCTATCCAAGCAAGCAAGGAAGGTTTGCACCCTTACACTCTGAAGCGACCAAAACGGCACCTAAGGAGTTATGACCGGTGCAACTGCTTTAATAAATTAACCGCCGTCAACCACCTAACTGCCAAACAGTTTTAATTTCCACTCAATTGCTCTGCAACCGCCATCACCATAGATCTATAAATAGGGCCAAAATTCTTTTGTAACACACATACACATACATACATACTTCAGAGTGTTGATTTCTGTAGATTTTTTGAACTCCAACCCTGTAAGGGACTTCTATAGTTAGGAATGGCCAAAGGAGTCGAGACTTTCTCCTCATCTGGCCGCTCACTTTACTATTTCTTAGATTAGCTTACTGCTTTGTTCTTGCTTTGATTTACTGATTTTATAACGTAGAATCTTACTGTTTTCTGTAGTAAGTAATGAAGTATTAAGATTTCTCCGTTATCACTTCTATCCGAAAGTCATATATGCATTTAGACATTAGGATTAGAATTCTATTTCGTTGTGGAAGAACAAAGAAAAATCGACTATTTTAGCCTAGTTTCGCGTCGTATTCATTAACAAATTCTAGGTAGTTCAACGTAGCTAAGTACACGGGAGCCTTGTCAACATGCTTAGTTGTTGTTCTGAATTTGATTCTTATTAAAAGAGGTAACACAAGGGGAAAACCACTAATGGGACAGAGATTGGGATAATTTACTAGGCATAGATGTGGATCTATTAGGCCATAGAACTTCTAGTGACAATAGACTTTCTTGCGTATAATGTTCCGAGTTTGGGCTCCATTAAAATCTTGTTGTAAATCTTTAAGGTCAAGTACCAGCGAATCCGTCTTTTGTTTTAACTGTTTTTATGTAATTACATCTACTTCTTCTGTCGTTACGTCTTATAAATATATGTTTCGCTTACTCGCTTTCTTCATTCGCTCACTTCAGATCATACACAATATCATTTGAACATCCTCAACGCTCACTTATTATCATACATTATAATTATAATCCTCGCCTCCGCTCACCTCTGCTCACAACCATTCCGCTACATCCATCGTTCGCTCATTGCCTTCATTGCATAGACTCCGAATTACCCCGCTTTATTTGCTTTCATTTACTTTCTGCCTTAGCTAATCTTCGGCTTGCTCACAAGCGAGCCATCTTTCCATTTTTCCCTGTGCGTCACTAGTATTTCAATTTTTGATTTAAATTTCGCGACTTAAAATCTCTGTGTTTGACCTGAAAACTCATCAGTTAAAGAGTATAAATAATTGTGATATAGTGATGTATGGTCTACAACTTCATTTTCACCATTTATATCTAAACATGTCTATAAATACACATTCCATCCTAGAAATTCATAAGAAATTTCCTATTTTAAATTCAAACATCACTAAAAACTGCATATCACCTCACAATTTCAAATTGGGTAAGCTGAACTTGGATCGCCGAAGTAGATATATTACGCAGCCATGTAAGAATCTGATGATTCTTGCTATCTCAATCCTCCAATTTCTCAATATATGATTCAACAACTTTAGGGGTAGGCGCAACTTCTCCTATAGAAATGGGAGCAACGGGAGCGACTATATTTCCTGTAACAATCCGCCATAACTTTCTACCTATCAAGAAACTTTAAATCGATTGTGCCCATAAACTGTAATTATCTCCGGACAAGGTAACGTTTATTGGAACATGAACATCCACCTTTTCCATGCAAAAAAATAATCTAAAATATGCAATATCTCAAGCCGAAAATCAAATCAACAAAAGCACAGACAAAATCAAATCGGAACCACAACAATAAAATCAGACGAACACGGAATACTGCTCAAACCGAAAAAGTGAATATACCATCAGACAGGAAATTAAATTCCAAGCACGCCAGTCAAAAAATCTTCGGCAACCGCCGCCGTATGCGCCTCCACGCGCCGACGAGTAGGCTGATTTTTCATCGGTCGGCTCGTCTCACGAAGGTGCTTCCAATGGTGGTGGCGGTGACAGTTGGAGTGGAACGGCGAGATGGATTTAAGACTATCGACGTTTTGGTTGTTTTCAGATTGTATGGAGAGAAATAAGCTCAACTAAAATTAGGATTACATTGTTATATATATACTTATTGATATGGGTCGGGCTATATACATAAATATAAAGATATATATTACAATATATATCAACAGATATGTAATATAAAGAAAGTAAAAATGACTAAAATATTATTATTAGTATTGTATGATATAAATGTAAGGTAAAATTGCTTATAACTTTTCTGTGGTTTCGAAATTCAGCGTCAAATCTCTCTGTACTTTAAAAATTGCATGGTACCCCCTTATACTTTAAAAAACGTTGCATGAAACCCCACAACTATGAAACTTTCCTCGTGTGATAAGAAGATGATTTCCTATCTATATGTTTTGCATGGCAGGGGGGTTTATGCAATATTTTTTAAAGTATAAGTGAGCGTCATGCAATTTTTTAAAGTAAAATGGGGATTTATGTTGAATTTCGAAACCACAAAGTGGTTTCATGCAATATTTTTTAAAGTATAAGGGGACATCATGAAATTTTTAAAATATAAGGGAAATTTACACTGAATTTCGAAATCACAAAGAAGTTATGGACAATTTTGCCTAAATGTAATAATATTTATATAATATATTATAAATTGTAAAAATATTTGTAATGTTACATAGATAGTAATATACTTACTAAAAAAAATTAATATTTTATCATGAACAGACTAAAATAAAAAAATAATAATAATTTGTGAAATAATCAAGAAAGTATATAGGTTGCAATAAAACTACATATATGTATATACGGCATAATATAAAAATATATATTGTACGACCCAAGTTGCACCAAATCTACAGCGGAAGCTGAATAAAAGGTGATCAAATATCGTGCACGATTGGTCGTATTGACATCTCCGGACTGAGACTGAGACTGAGACTGAGACTGAGGTATAATAAGACAAGCGACAACACTCAGATTGTGAACTGCCCTCAACTTGTCCACGCTCCCAGACAAAACAAGATTCCTTACATTCACACGTATCATGTCATACAAAAACAACTCAAATTATTACTGCTATTTTATTTTTATTTATAATTTATTAAAATATACTCTTTCCTATCCAAGATAATTAATCTATTTTATTAGGGATAAAATATTAAAATAATACTGTTTAATTAATAAATTATAATATTATTTTATTATTTTGTATATAATTAATAATATTTATAATTTAAAAATAAATTTAATATATATAATTAAAAAAAATTAAAATATATATTTAAAATTTTTAAAAATTAACAATAAAATATATATGTAATATAAATATAATTTTGTAAATAGTAAAATTTTCTAGAAGTAAATTAAAAATATTTTTATTTATTTATAATTAATATAAATTAATTTTATAAAAAATGTTTACTTTTAAATATAATATCTTTTAGAGAAATAAAAATAAAAGTTTTTAAGTGGATCATACATAATATTTAACAAATTTGTCCAAAATACAAAAATATCAACTATTATAAAACAAATAAAAATAGAAAAAACGTCCATTGTTATGGCACAGTATAAAAATATTTCTATTCATACAGAAAAAAAATAAATTTAAAATCATGAAGGGATGTTTGTATTGTAAAATAGTTTATAGAATTTTTTTTTTCAAAATGTGAAAAATTATATAAAAAATATAAAAATAATAAATATATGTGATATATTACTCCCTCCCTCCGTCGCAGGTACTGTCTGCCACGGTATTTTAGAAGGGATGTAACGAGTAGATAATTAAAAATATATGAGTGAAAATAATTATCTTATAATATAAATAATTATAAATTAAGATTAAAATAATTAATTAGTTTAATTAAAATTAAAAAAATAAAATTAAAAAAATTAAAATAAAATTAAACTGTTTAATTATTTTTCAAAAAAAAAAAATAACATGTAACTCCGGACAGAAACAGCAACCTGAGTAATATTTAATATATATATTCTAAATTATTAATTAATAGGCTACAATCTCCCCAACACAACCCCATCATTAGCGAAATTATTTCAAGTTTACCAGTCAACGCCAAAAGCTCCGTTGACTTCCTACAAGCCTAACCGTTGACTGGCAGAATCACATCCCACCTCGGCCAGCCCCACCCTGGATTTCGCGAGGTCAAACTCCATCCACAGGTCCTGCTGGTGATGGTGTCCGATCACGTATGCCTCCACGCCCAGCAAATCCGAATTCCCAAAAGTCAAACAGTACACGCCGTCGGGCCCCCGCGTCTCACCCGCCACTCTGTACAGCAGCTTCTCGCCGGCCACCTTCATTTCCGCGCCGCCGAACACCAATCCCACGCTCGGCAGCCGCGCCGCCGCCGCCGACCTCATCTCGATTCTAAAGCACAGGTCCATCGTTCCTTGAAACACAAAATTCGGCTCCGCCAACGGCCGCAGAATCCCCGCCGTTTGCTTTAAGAATTCGCTCCTCAGCGCGGCGTAAGCCGCGCCGATCAGAAACGTGAACTGGGTGCCCGAATCGATCATGGTCTGACCCGCTCCGGTGTGGTCGGGTTCAAGTACGGATTCGGGTATCGGGAGTAGCTTCCCGGCGACGGTAATCCCCTGCAGCCGGACCGTGTACGCCACTCTGTCGAAGTACGGCAGCGCCGCCGCCGCAGGCGGCACCTGCACGAGCGGCGTATAGTTCAGCGGCGGCAGCCATGGCAGCTCCGCCGCGCCGAGGATCAGGACGCCGGGGGAGTCACGTGGCGAAATGCAGTACGAGAATTTAGGAAAACCCATCTGTGAAACGAACGACAGCTGGCCCCGGTTCATGCCCATCAGACCGGTCGTCCTCGCGTCCTCAACCGGGTTCGAGCTCGAACCGGATTCCATGCAGCCAAAGACCGCCCCGGTTTGGACCGGCGACCCACCGAGGCGGAATCCGTCGGTCGCCAGCGTGCCCTCGACGGACGACGCGTCGGCGTAAGACAGGATGACGTGGCAGAGGCGGTTTTTGTCGCAGGAAGCGGGAAGGGTCAGGTCGCGGGTTCGGGTCGTGCACGTGGGTGCGGAGCATGTGATTGGGCGGTAAGTAATAGACACGTGCGGGTTGAAGGAGGCGGAGGCGGAGGTGGTTACGGCGGCGTTGCAGCGGAGCCAGGAGAGCTCGCTTCCGGTGTCGAGGACCATGGTGGCGGTCTGCGGCGGCGACCCGACGGCGACGGCGACGGTGAGGGAGACATTGCGGCGGAAGGTGAGCTTGTTAGGGACTGTGGATTTGAGTAGGGATAGAATTAGTGGAGGAGACGAGGACGCCATGGCCACCGGGAAAATAAGGAGGAATTGTGTAAGGAAAAGACAAGTGGACGCCATGGGCGTCGGAAGAAATTAAGTGGATGGACGGTGTGGATTAAAGTGGCATTGGAAATGGGGAAGATTGTTGGTTCAGTAGGAGGGAGGTGGGTGGAAGGTTGTGTCTCGACGTCAGGACAGACTGCAGGTGGGTGTCGTCTTTCGAACAGATATTCCAAAATTAAATAAATAAATAATTTATAACTTTTATTTTGATTCTTGAAATCTTGGGAATTTATTGTAGTATATGACATGTTACATGTCTATCTATCTGATTGCCCACACGCCTGCCCTCCCATATAATTATCCGTACCCAAATTTCTATTCAATCCGTGCATTCAATTATATTTTCAAAATTTTGAGCATAAGTTTTATTATGATTGATGATGTTGAGGTATTCGTTCCGATTATCCTGTAAAAGTAAACATCAATTACAAAAGTTATAAATATGAGTGGTGCTAAATGGCTAGAATAATTATTAATTATCTATTAATATGGTAAAAGACTATTATACTATTTTTAATTTATTTATTTATACTTATTAAATGTAACGGTTATATTTAGACTTTTTATATAAATTTTCCTTTTGATTGAAAATATAGAAAGTGTTTCCTTATTAAATGTAACAGTTATATTTTACTTTTTAATAGCGATTAACAATCAATTATGTAGATTTATTTGTTCTATTTAAACTAACATTTCATTCTCCATTTTTAACCTATCAATATGGATATCAATATAACAAATATTGTATACGATTTATTTGGTAGTGATTTAGAAGAAAATGATCAATATAAAAATTTTCAAGCGGATGACATCGTGAATGAAGATATTCAGACGCAATCTCTGGTTGACCTATATTCCGAACTTGATGTTCAGTCGATTAGTAAATTTATTGATATATATTTTTTTAAGATAAATGAATTTTTTTCTTCCTATTATACTCCCTCCGTCCAAGCTAAAAGTATACATTTACTTTTGGCGCGGAGATTAAAGAATAATAGTATTTTAACTATAGTGTGTAAGTAAAAGTAGTAAAATGACATTTTTGCCCTTACTTTTTTGGTATAAAAGTAATGATGTGATGTAAAATAGGGGTATTTGTGGAAAAAATGGGATATTTAATGAAATGGTTACTTTGTAATTGAATGTCCCAAAATAGAAATATGTATACTTTCTAGCCGGACGGAGGGAGTATTTTTTATGCAGTATTTTTTTTTTAAAGTTTTATAAGATATTATTTTTTTAGATAAATATGAAAATTAATTATTTAATGTTACTAATATTTAGATTATTAGATATTAGAAAAAAAAATGGTTAGAAATTTTTTTGGAAGATTATTAGCGAAAAAACGTAGGAAAAAAAAATATAAATAAAATTAGAGATATATAAAAAATATTATTGATATTTAGATATTTTTTTTTTATTTTTCCAAATACATATATAAATATTATATTAAAATAAATAAGAACATAAAATAAAAAATATCATAACAATTTTCTCAAAAAGTAACTAAACACATGTAAAATAAAAAAAACCAAATTATAAAACTTAATTTTTCAGTAAAAATAAAATAAAAATTAATATATCATAGTTTTGAAAAATATATTATAGCTATGAAAACTATGTTCCATTAATTATATATTGATCAATAGTCTTCGTAAATAACATATTTAATTTTTTTAATAGCAAATTTTAATTAACTTTTTTAGTTTTATTAGTTTTAATAATGCATTTTAGTCCATTCGTCACTTATCATAACAACTATTATTATTATTATTATTATTATTATTATTATTATTATGAAATAGTCTTAATTTTATTTTGAAATAATGTTTAAAATAAATATTAATAATGTATCAGGAACCTGTTAACATTGACGCAAATCCAGAAGAAAATCAATTTGAACAGATTGATGGACCATGTACAGGAATGATATATGATAGTTATGAAAGTATATTTCAACACTATCAAGAGTATGCGAGAAAGTCTGGATTTAGCGTTTTAAAGAGAGCATTAACAAAGGAAAAATATGCGTATATGGCATGTGATAAATCACTACCATCTACACAAAAGATTTCCAAAAGAGTAGGATGTCCATCTATTTCAATGCCATAAAGTAAGAAGATGGATCATTGATTATTTCGAAAGTAGTTACAACACACAATCATGATCTTAATCCAAATATGTCGATTTTAATGCCGGCTCATAGAAAAATTGGTGTACACATGAAGAGACAATTGGAGGCTAACGACATTGCGGGTATAAGACCAAGTAAGAACATTCGATTGTGTGAAGTTCAAGCTGGTGGTCCTGAAAACATTGGATGTCTTCCAAAAGATTGTAGGAATTTTATAGAGAATAGGAGAATATTAAGATTGGGTGATGGAGATGCAAAAGCTATTCGAAAGCTTTTTGGGAGATTGAAACATCAAGATAGAAATATTTTTATGTGATAGACATTGATGATGAGGGGAGGTTAAGAAATGTATTGTGGATTCATCCGACAAGTCGAGTTGCATATGGAGACTTCAATGACGTAGTGAGCTTTGATACGACATATCTTGTCAATAAGTATGAAATGCCGTTAGGAGCTTTTGTTGGGATTAATCATCATAGTCAATCTATATTGCTAGGGTGTGCTTTGGTGACACGCGAAGACTCAACTTCATTTAAATGGCTTTTCGAAAATTGGGTTCAAGCAATGGATGGTGTGTGACCTAAAGCCATATTGACCGATCAATGTGAAAGCATTAAAATAGCAATAAGAGAGGTGTTGCCAGACACTATACATCGATATTGTTTGTGGTATATAATGTCGAAATTTCCTTTGAAGTTTAAGGATATTCAGGAGTATAATAAAGCGATTGTCGAAATTGCGCATGAATATGAAAGATTTATGTGTTTGTTTTAATTTAAATATTTTAACACATTTTTAATATTTCATATATATATATATATTTAATATTAGACATTTTAACCGCATTCAATTAAATATTTTATATAATAGCATTTGTCCTATAAAAAATATATAAAATATTTTGTTAAATTAAAATTTATCCATTGAAAAAATAATATCAAATTAGAAATTAAATATAACGTTCAATTTTTTCATAATATATAATTATATATAATATATTAAATGCAGTCTATCTAAGAATTTGTACAGACACTAATTTATTAAGAGATATTAAATAGCGACATAGAAAATAGGCATGAAAGGTTTTTTTTTTTTTTTTAAATCCAAAAATAAAAATTTAAATGTTTATAAATTCATTGTTCCGTTAACAACGCTAATCTATCTTATTTTCTAAACTATGGCCGGTACTCCAAGCAAACAATCCATCCTTAAAAAAGAATGGACAGTGCCTCATCTCCAAAAAGTTTAGAAACCATGTATGAGCATTCTAGGATTCAACATTCTGGTTTGAAAAAAGATATTTTAAAGTTATTGAACCGATTCATTTCATATTGTGGGAAGTAGTTTGTGAGCCAGATTCTTTTGGAAGAAAGAGCCACTGATGAACGCTTATGATTTATATCTCGAGATTGTCGAAGAGAAGAAAAAAAAAAGACATTCATGTTTTTGTTCTGTCTGATTCTTCTACCAACCGCAATGATATTCTACGAGGAGTTATTGGAAGAGCTTCTTAGTTTATTATCTATTGTTCTTATTTTCTGATATATCAGAGTTTCTTAGTTTATTTTCTATTGTTCTTGTTTTATGTATCATTTTCTTATGATTATGAATAAAAATTGTTGTTGGTAAATGATTTTTTTTTTAAATTTTTTATTTGAATAATGTTGGCAAGAACAAATAAAATTATACATTTCAAAAAAGTTTGAAATAGATTATGAATGAAAATAAAACTCTTAAGCAATTCATTTCACTTCTATCAAAATTGAAGTTGAAATATCTTCATTTCTATCAAAAGTGAATATAAACCAATGTTTAGTCATTAGAATTAGAACTTCTATCAAAATTGAAATTGAAACATCTTCACTTTTACAAAAAAGTGAATAGAAACCAATGTTTAGTCATTAGAATTAGAACTTTGTAAAACTCCTAGGGCATAACTTTATTTTCACTGATATTGAAAAGGGAGAATATTTATTCGTCGACAGTTGCAGTTTCAAATTTTTTCTCTGACCGGCGGTTTAAGTTTGAACATTGCATATTGCATTTTTATTTTATTTTATTTTTTTTAAAATATATTAACCTGATACGTAGTTGGAACGGTGGGAGAAGATGATGAAAAAAAAGGGAGAAAGGGAGATGAAGAAAAAAAGAGAAATTAGGGAACAAAAAAAAAGAGGGAGAAAGGGAGATGAAGAAAAAAAGAGAAGATAGAAAAAAAATCTGGGTGTGGGCGGCTGCGGCTTGAATATGTAATGAATTAGGATAAAAATATTAATTATAGTATTAATTTTTTATAAAATTAAAATAATATTAATATTAGTAAAAACAAATATTTATAGTGGTGCATATTATAAATTTTATTATATAATTAATTTAATTTAGATTATATATTATTATTTAATATAATAATATTTTGTAATTGATATTTACTTTAACTATTTATTATTTTATTATTTTAATAATTTTTTATACCATAAATCTAATCAATTACTGTTATTTATATAATTAATAAATAATATATATTTAAATAAAATTAAAATTGAATTAATTATTTTTTACTAAAATTAAATATTATAAAAGAAAATTATTAAAAATGAATAAATATAAATCGGGAGTTCAAATCGAAATCAAAATTATAATTTGAAAGGTTCAGATTTGACTTTTCGATAAACTGAAATCGGCGGTCCACAACGTTTGAACAAACCTATCTTAGGATAAGTAATAAGAAGACTTTTGAAAAATTTTAAAGTTTTTAATTGCGTATTTCACTTGACACATTTAAAATAAAAAATATTGAATATTTATTAACATTATTATTTGTATTTTCAAAAAAAATAATACTGTTTACTTGTACCTTCAAGAAATCAAGTAAATTTTATTTTCGATATAATTTATGAAATTTTCGCTTAAAAAAAAAAGATCATCAGTAAATATTTATATTTATTATATTTTATTTTGTAGTTTTGTCTTTACAATAAATCGAAATATAATTATCATTATTTATTTTATATTAAAATGCAAAAGTTAATAAATTTTGAAACAGAAAATAAATTGAATTAATTATTTAAATAGAAATTATTAAATTAAATTTATCATAATTCAAATTGACAAAACAAAAAATCTAACAA